CATGCATAAAATAAGATAAAGTCTTTTATGCTCTTCCTGTCTATTAAGTTTACTTTAAGGTGTGATTCACACAAGTATATAATATATTGCCCTACACAGTTTGGATTGAGTTAAACAAATCATGGAATTACCCAATTTTTGGGTATTTTTGGTTGTTTACTTTTAAATGACATGTTTGGACTAATTCCTACTGGTCGCTCTATATCAATTTACTTCTCAGGCTTCAAATATATTCCTCCGGTATGCAGTGAAGGAAGAGGATAATTTCTTTCAATGCAAAGGATGTACATGGTCTGCAGCGGTTCTTAGGTAGGTGGTATATGTCAAAGTAAAATCCGCAGATGTTACATGGCATGATCAAACTCTTAGCTTGTTGACCTGGGACTCAGCAATGTCATTGCACTCTTGAGCTTCTTCCAGCTCATGCTGAACCTTTCTCAGCTTGGGTAGGTAGATGTTGGCATGTTCCTCTTGTAGTTGATGGGAATTAAAATGAGGGCACCCTCATTTATATATTAGTTAATTTAACTTCAGTTTAATTTAATATTTACTTTTCATATTTCTGCATTCTCTCTCAGATATTTGCACAGAATAGTATACAGTAGCTTTGTTTTGAGGAGCACTGTAAAAATGATTTTAATATATCATTATAAGTGTTAAAAACAATCAAACCTGAGGGAAGCAGTCCGACACGGTCACTAGCACCAACCAACTCCTGTTCAGCAACTCCTAATCCTCTCTCTGTCTGCTCCAGAGCGGCTCTCAGCTCCTCAATTTCAGCCATCATGAGACCATTTCTGCGCTCCACCATGGTGACCTGCTCCTTCATGTCTTCCTGTCCTCTGAAAGCATCATCAAGGTGCAGCTGGGAATCCTGATAAAGTATTTCAGACTTCTCAGTCTCAACAGTCTTCTTGGCCTTTTCTAGCTCATGGATGCTCTGTCCAGTCTCACCAATCTGCTCAGTCAGATCTGAGATCTTCTCTACAGAGCAAACACAGCCAAGAGTTAGAGTACTTGGAGCTGACATATGCAAATGTTTTTGCTACAACAAAAGCAAGATAAGCATACGCTGCAAGTTCTTGTTCTCTCTCTTCATGGTCTCAACATGATCCAGAGCCTCTTCATAGGAGTTCTTCATCTTGAACAACTCAGTGCTGAGAGAACGAGCCTCCTTTTGGGCTCCTTCCAGCTCTGCCTGGCTCTCCTCATACTTCTGCTTCCATTCTGCCAGGACCTATGTTAATGTAGGTTAATTAGTTAGTTGTTATTATTGGTGTATGCCTATTCTGATGATATTGGTTATGTTTAAATCTTTACCTTATCAAAGTTCCTCTGCTTCTTTTCAAGGTTGGCAGCCAGGGCTTTAGCTCTCTTCACATCAATCATGAGGTCTTCCACCTCACCCTGCAGCTTCTGCTTGGTCTTCTCGAGTGAGGCACACTTGGAGTTCACAGCCTCAATGGATTCCTCAGCCTCAATCTGCAACACTGTCAGCCTGCTTCTTGCGGAGAGCAGTTTCTGGAACTCAGCCTCTCGCTTCGTGTTAAACTAAATCTGAGCAGCTGTTGCTCCACCAGCTTCATTGAGCCTCTTGCTGATCTCTTCAAGCTCCCTGGAGAGGTCGGCTCTCTGCTTCTCTACCTTAGCCTGAGCTGCCCTCTCAACCTCAATCTCCTCTTCCAGCTCTTCTATATGAGCCTAGTTTGAAGTTTTATATTAACAGAGCTTGTCAATGGGAACTTATATTGTAATAATGAATAATATTCATTATGAACGCTGTTCATTAGTTTTACCTTAAGTTACCTAAATTATCTTGCTGAGAAGCTGGCTTAATTCCTTGAGCCAGCTTCTCCATCAAGTTTTTCCTTGATGGAGAAACTAATAGAGATTTTATAAGGTAAGTGTCCTCATAAATACTGAGTACATCAGTAATGTCTACAGTATACCCAGTGGTAAATTATAATAGTGCACTGCATGGTTTGTGAATTATTTATTCCAATCAATCTTGATATTAACTTGACAGTGATATTAAGTTGAAAGAGTTTATACTAAGCTCTTGTGTGTCCAAGTCATTTTGACATCACAGTGCTGTCACGGCTGGGGCAGCAGTCGTGTTATGGAATGAAAAGGACCCAAAATGCAGGCAGCTGACTGATGAAGAGTGTGATGTTTATTTACAGGTGGCAGTGGCAGAAACAGACAACGAAGCATGAGAAATACTAACGGAAACCTAAAATGGGAAAAACTAAAGAGCACACTTGAAATCCTCAGCAAACGGGTTGAAAGGCAGAGAGACGCAGACCAACGAATAGGACACCAAGAAACACAGAGAAACGCAGACGAGTCGACAACGAGCACAGACCGACACCCACTAAATATACATACACAAGGTAATCGAGGGGAGAACAGCTGATCCTAATACACACGCTGACTGGAGGACACAAGCTGAACACAATTGGATACAGACCTTCAGAATAGAACAGGAAATCCAGAACACAAGCCTTCAAAGTAAAACAGGAAACACACAGACTAATTTACAACACAAACACAGGGACATGAAAAGAGCACCGAGGACAGACACAGGTAGGGCCAGT